AAACGTGTGAGGGGTGTCCCGAAATGGGCGCGGTGCCGCCATGCGAACGCAGCCACTGGAGCCCTCGGTGGAGCTCCTTGTGGTGTCAAGGCCCAGATGAGCGGCCGCGAAACCCGTAAGTGGGTCTAGCAAAAACACCCGCGAGGGGGGCAGTTCCCCCGCGACAGGGCCTCGTTTTCCCGCGGTCCAGAAAAAAACGCATGGATGGCCCTTCTCGCGGTCGAACATACCAGTGGACGCGCGCGCTGGGTTTCGACCGATTGCCCGACGCGGGTCGAACTGTCGGACTAAGGGGCGCACGGTCGCACGATGATTCTTGCAGGCAAGTGGGCGCGCGCAACGAATTTCGAACTCGAAAAAGAAAACGAATGCGCGATTGTCGCCCACAAGCGGGGGTCGACACCTTGGAGCTCGAACGCGCAACGCGCGCGCATTACCAGCGCGCAGCCCGAAACTAGTAGTTGGCGGATTCGCGCGCAAAGGCCGTGCAACTTGCGCAAATTGCGCCGCCAGCTTGAACCAGCGCGAACTTGCAGCGCGGGAGCTCAGACGGGCCCACGAGGGCCCCAACGCAGCCCAAAGACAGCCCCGCAATGGGGGGGGGGCCATAAAGATATAATATGTTTTTGTGCGCGCCCCCTTGGGCCCCGGGCCTTCTTGGAGCCGACTTGGGGCCCTATGAAGGGCCCCGCGGAACCTTGGGGGCCCGCGATTTTCCAGCAAGGCCCAAAGAGGGGCCCCAAGATGGGCCCGAGAGCGAGGAACTCCTTTAAAGAATCCCTCCCCCTCTTCCCTGTGAGGCTCGCGGATCATCCCTCCTCCCCCCCTTTCCTCCGCCCCCGTCTCATCCCCTCCCCCGTCGCGTCTCGCCCCCCCCCCCTCCTCCTCGTCCTCATCATCATCCCTCCCCCCCCTCCCCCTCTCCTCCCTCGTCCGCCCGCCCTCCTTCGACCACTGCCGGGCCCGCGGCGCCTCGGACAACAGGTCGACCCCTGGCCAGGCCCACGGGACTCCCGATGGGGGAAGAGAGAAGGGGGAGGAGGGACAGCCCCTCCTCCCTCCCCCCCACCCCCTCGAGAAAATGACGAGGGGGAGGAGAGAGTGACGGATGAGCTAACCTGTTCAAGCGCAGGTGGGCGCAGAGCAGAACGGGAGGATGGGGCCGTGGGGAACGATGATGAGTAGGATGAGGCTCCTGCTCCTATCCCTCCTCCTGCTCCTTCTTTCTGCGGACCTGGCCGCTCCTGCTGCTGCCGCTGCCCCTACCCCCTGGCCCCTCGCCCAACTCATCATCGTTCCCCACGGCCCCGTCCTCTTTTTCTGCTCTGCGCCCACCTGCGATTCAACAGGTAAGCTCATTATGACCATTCTTTTTCGCACCCCTGAACGTCGGCGCACAGCTGGAATCTCCTCTTGGATTCTACTGAGCCCCCCCCCAGCAAATTCGGCTCGGCGCCTACTCGATATCCACCTTGCTCTCTTTCTCGGCCGCCGCCTGGACCCACTCCCCGAGATCCCGCTTCCACTCAGAGACCTTCTCCGTCCAACTCTTCAGGTTCTTACCCTCGCCCTCCTGGTAGGTAGCAAGCACCCTGTTGACAACCTTCGGGGAGGCTTGCTCTTTCAAAAAGGCTACGTCGAACATCGGCTGAACTCCGAGCCCGATGAGGTGGCGCTGGTTATCCTTCCCCTTCGTCGCCTTCAAGTCCGCCTCCTTGGAAGCGACGTCAATGAGAGGGCACGCGCCGACAATGATAGGGAACGATCCGCACGGCACGAAGAGCGAACTCCCCTCCTCGAGCATCCAGGCGGGGTAGTCCTGCAAACCGTCGGAACTGAGGCTCGCCAACCACTCCTGCGGGTTGCCGATGGCGGTGGCGACGTCGGGCGGCACAACTGAAATCACAGACCTGCCGCAGTCCTGGGTCAAGAAAGCTGGCACTCCACGCCACGGCCACGCGTCCAAAGTAACGTCCACGGACTCCGTGTGAGAAACCCGCACGACCGAACGAAGGCCAACGATCGGCTGCAACCGCTTCGAGGCGTCGGTGACCCAGGACGGCTTCAGGTCGATGTCCGTCGACAACTGGATGGAGCCGAACGTGCAGCACATGTTGGCAGTCGGCTGCTTCATGACCTGGTTGCACTCCCGCATCTTCGCCGTCGCCTGAATCTTGTTGTCCAAATAGAGCTGGCCGAAGACGTTGTGGAAGTGATCCTTCTGGGCGCGGTCCTCGGAGGCGTTGAACTTGATGCGGAATGGGCGAGTGAAGACGTCAGCCGTGGAGCCCTCAACGACGTTGCACTCGGGGGACTCGTAGGAGAGATCGATGTCAACTTCGCCTGGTGGGCAGGCCATGCTGTAGATCGTGTCGCCCACGACCTTAGCCGTCGCCGTCGGGGCACCGCGGCCCGCGAAGTACTTGCGGTACTTGTCGCGATTGGCGCGCCACGATTCATTGGCCTTCTGATCATGCCCACTCTGCTCGGCCTGCACGGCCTGTGCGCCAGCCTTCGCTCGCAGCACGGCCTTCCACGCGGCCTGGTGCGACTCGTGGAGCCTGCCAAACTTCTCCTTGTACGGAGTGAACGCGAGGGGGAATTCGACGTCGCCCATGCTAGCGAAGAACTTCGACAACGCGACGCGGGCGTCGACGAGGCCCTGCTTTAGCGTGTCCAGGTGGAGGTTCTTGATCTTCTTCACGTCGCTGAGCTCGTCGATGCAGTTCCCGAGCCACCCCTCAGCATCCTGCTTCCCGACCTGGGCCAGTGAGCCACCACGCAAAACACAGTGGCGCTAGCTGAACGCCATCTTGCGCGTTTTTTTGTGCGCAACCATCACCTCCAGACCTTGCCCTCTTGGACAATGTCGTTGATGAGATTTGCCGCGCAGAACGTGCGACGGCGCTCAGGGTGGCACGATGTGTCGCGCGGGTTGCCAGAGAAACAACCTTGCAGAGCGCAGGCATCTTCTTCGAGACCAGCTGCATGGCCTCTACCGTCTGCCACATGTCCACGCTCTCTGCGAACTCCGCTGGAGCCTCGGACACCTGGTCGACGAGAGCGTCGATGCCCTTCTGCGTGGGCGCGGCGTCCTCGCGCCGCCCGCGGCGCCTCGCTTGCCGCGCAGGCTGCGCGGCCGCCCCCTCATCCTCAGCAGCGGCCCTCTTGCTGGCGGCGCGGGCTGGCGAGCTCGCGCGACCCGCCTTCTTCGAGGGAGGGCTGGGGCGCGGCTCTGGCCCCCCATCGGGCGGCCGCCCTGGGGCCGCCGCCTCCCCTGCCCGACGGCGGCCTCGAAGTCATCGCCCCGCCCCGCAGGGTGCTCGGTGGCTCGCCAACCATGCGCGACGGAGCCTTCTGCGAGGACGGCCTCCTCGCGGGCAACATGCCTCTGCCGCGGCGGCCGCGGCTGCTCTCGCAGGCCGCCTCCTCTCTCTCCTCTATCTCGCTCTCGTCGCGGACGCTGTCGTCGCCGCCCTTGTTGCCGACCTCATCGCTGTCCTCGCCCTCGTCATCCTGCCCCTCGGGGTCGTCGCCGAACGAGCCGCCCTCCTCGCCCTCCTCCTCGCCCTCCTCGTCGGTGGTGTCGTCGGCCACGACGCCCTTTGACAGCGCGCCAGTGTGGACCTCTCCGATCTCACGTCCACGGCGCGGCTCGCTGCCTCCGCTATTGGGCCTCGTGACCCTCAGCGCTTTGTCGCCGCCCACCTCGACCTCCTGCAACTTGTTCCCCAGCTCGTCGGTGCAAGCATCCAACAGCGCAACGCTTTCCTGGGGGACTCGCCAATCGACAAGAGCAGCCTGCGGAAGTGCACCCACGTCATGTCCTCATAGTTGTCCTTGCGCTTCACGTCATTGTGCTTGCGGCTCGTGGTCACGAAGCCCTCAATGTCGACCTGGCCGCTCTTCTCGAACTTATCGTGCATGCTGGCACTCTGACGAAGCTTGCGGGCCTGCTTGAACGCAGCCCTCTGAACCTCATGGTGGGACCTGGGTCGGGGGGAAATGAGCCAGCAGGTCGAACCAACCACGAACAAACTCTTACAATCACCCCCTCCCTACCCAGGTCTCGCCGAGCAGATCACCTAGAAAACTGCGGGAAGCACGTCGTCTTCGTCTCTGATGGAGTACTCCATCCTCCGGTCCCTGTTGTAGCACTTCGCGTGCGTGGCACCCTTGAGCGCCTGGCCAGGCAAGAGGGGGTCGCGGCAGAAGCGGCGCAGCTTGGGATTCTCTGCCGTGACCTGCGCGTGTCTGGCAACGTTGGCTCTGGTGAGCTTGGGGCGTCTCACGGGGCTGCGGCCTCTCGCCACGGAAGCGCCGCCTCTGCTGCCGCTGGCCCCCGACCTCGGCGGCGCCGAGGCGAGCGACCGCGCAGGCGATCGCCCTCGCATCGTCCTCGAGTCACCACTGTAGCGGGACGGTGGCATCGGGCCTCGGGTTCTGGACCCGCGTCAGAGTCGGAGCCTTCGGGCCAAAATTGCTTCAGATGGGCAGCGTGAGGAGCAGCGTGGTCCTCCTCCCGTGACTGGTGCCCCGTCGGTCGGGGCGGTCCTCCTCCCGTGACTGATGCCCCATCGGCGCCCTTCACGCTTCGTGCTGATTCAGGGCCCCAAGACGACCCAAGACGGCCCGAAGTGGCCAAACGATTGGCCCAGGGGGCTCCGAGAGGGCCCCGCGACGGCCTCAAGACGGCGCGTCGTTGCTCCCGCCCTCGTTTCCTGCCCGCGCGCATTCTGCATTCTGCATTGACGCACTTGCGAGCCCTACGGGGCCAATGGGGCTTATGAGGAGCAGATCCCGAGAGGGAGGTAATACTACTATTCCTGGGGCCCGAGGGGGAGGGGGCCAGCCTACTTTTGCCCCCAACGCATTCAAGTTAAAGTTAGAGACCTAGACTGGAGAGGCAACCCCCCAGGGTTGCGAATCCGTCCCACCGAGGCCCGAGGGGGGGGATTCTGGGCCAAAAACCAGCGTCAATATTTTTAAACATTTTGACGCTCGATTTTGGGCTGTTCACGGCCCTATCTACACGCACACTAAGAAAGCCCGTTAACAAACATGTAACAGTCACGATATTTGCCACATCTCTTTTTACTGCCGCTCTGGTGCCCCGACGAGGGGCAAAAGGTTTGGCTGGTCGTGCGTGCGGCTCGATCTGCGCGCGCGGCCCAGCACAATGGCAGGACCCTGTAACATTCAACCGTGCCAAGAACACACAAGCGGAGGCGGGGAGGGAGGAGGAGCCCCAAAAACTGCGAGCCAACAGACGCGAGACACATCTGTAGGAAAAGAGGCAAGGGGGAGCGGCCACCTGGATCCCCTTAAACCGAGCCCAGGAAAGAATGTTTGAAAACTGATATTCCTGGGGCCCGAGGGGGAGGGGGCCAGGCGGCCAGCCTACTTTTGCCCCCAACGCATTCAAGTTAAAGTTCGAGACCTAGACTGGGGAGGCAACTCCCCAGGGTTGCGAAACCGTCCCACCGAGGCCCGAGGGGGGGGATTCTGGGCCAAAAACCAGCGTCAATATTTTTAAACATTTTGACGTTCGATTTTGGGCTGTTCACGGCCCTATCTACACGCACACTAAGAAAGTCCGTTAACAAACATGTAATATCGCGCATCGGCTCTCTCGGAGCCCCCTGGGCCAGCATTGGGGCCCTCTCGGGACCTCTTGGGGCCTCTTCGAGCATCTTTTGGGCAGCCGTGGGAAGTGTGTTTTGGATGCCCTCTCAAGAAACACTTGCTGGACATCATTCCTGGGCCGTCTTGGGGCCGTGTTGGAGCTCTCTGAGGGGCTCTCGTGGGCCGTCGTGGGGCTCTCTTGGGCCATTTCGGTGCCCTCTTGGGCCTTCTTGGGGTACTCATACATGCATTCACACATTTATACATACATGCATACATTCATACATACATACAGGCATACAAGCATACATACATACACAAATACACAGTACATACACCAACACATACGTACATACATACAGACATACACCCATACACACGTACATACTTACATACATACATACATACATAAATACTAGAACCACGCGCGCGCTTCGCGCGCGCTTAGGTTCTAGCCTCCTCATCCCCCCTCATTCCCGTCCTCGTCGTCGTCCCTTCTCGGTCTCCTGATGCTCCTGCTCATCCTCCTCCTCCGCGTGCTCTTCGTCGTCCTCCTCCTTCTCCTCCTCTTCCTCCTTCTCCTTCTTCTTCTCCTCCTCCTCCTCCTCCTCCTCATCCTCCTCCTCTCGCTGGAAACATCCTGTCACCCCCAGCTCGGAGAGGCAGCGTGGACCTGCTCAGTGAAGGAAGTATCCATCTTGGAAAGATATCGGAAGCTCGGAAGCCATGAAAGCCAACCTGGGACGTTCTCAGGCGCTTCTCAGGCTGTCCCAAAACGTCGGGAAGGTCAAAACCGGGCCGTCTTGGGGCTCTCTTGGGCTGGCTTGAGGCCCTACTTGGAGCTTTTTTGGCCATCTTGAGGCGGTCTTGGAGGCATAGGCTATCTTTGAGCGCCGGGAAACTGAAAAGGCGAGGAGGCCGAACACCTGCAAAATCCCGTGGGAAATAAGTGATTTCGACCCTGGTGGCACTCGTGGGAGACCTCTTGGAAGCCTCTTGGGCCGCCTCAGCGACCTCGTGGGCTGTCCTTGGGCCATCTTCGGTCGGCTTGGAGTATATTCTTGGGCGCTCTTGGGCGCCTTCTGGGTCGTCTGGAGTTCCTCTTGGGCCGTCTTAGGGGTGCTCTGGAAAACCTATTCTGAATTTCAATAAAACAATGGAAAATCAACAGTGCTTGCCTGTTGAGGCCCTCCTGGGAGTCCTGGAGGGTCTCAACGAAAGTTGTGAGCCGTCGAGGAGCTCTCTGGGGCTGTATTGGGGCTCTCTGGGGCACGTCCTGGGCCGGACCGACAGCGAAAACAAACAACATGTTTAAAGTATACGTTTTACAAAGGGAATGGGGCTATTTGGGCCACTTGGAGCTCTCTTTGGAGCCCTATTGGGAGTCGCTTGGAGTGTCTTGTGGACTTCTGAAGGTGCCTTCGAGGCCATGTTGGGGTCTGCTCCCGAGCCTCTTGGGGCCTCCTTGGCGCCTCCTGTGAGGCCCTGGAATGCCGAAGCCCTGTAAAAATACAGGGAAAATGAGCCCCCAGGCCACACATTTATGGTCGAGGTCCTGGCCCCGGGGCCCCGGGCCCCGGGGCCCCGGGGCCAGGTGAAGGTCCAACACCTGCACGAACAGGAAGACATGACAAAAGCCAATCCACATCTCATTATCTCTGTTATCGCCGGTCCGAAGGAAGCCCCGTCCGTAAAAAAAGATGTTGTCCCAGGACGTCCAACATGAGCCCCAATCGCTTCATAGTGTATACGGCACCTGCATACTGGGGTCAGAGCCTGGGCACCAGTAGCCAAAGAACGCCCACCGATAACTCATATGCATCACGATTATGCTGGATTGCCTTAAGCACCGTGTCATACATGCAGGCACGCGTGGGCAGAGGATGAGCAGGAGGATTGGAAGGATTGGGAGGATGGCCAGCGGCGGCTCCCCCAATCAGAGGAGGATCGGGAGATGAGAGGGCAGGAGGATGAGGAGGAGGGGGAAGAGGAGGAGGGGGAAGAGGAGGAGGGGGAAGAGGAGGAGGAGGGGGAGGAGGAGAAGAGGAGAGAAGGAATGGGTGGGTGGCATGACCCGTACTCACTCATCCATGAACAAACATAAGCCGCGCCAATACCCTTTCATGGTCTTGGGGGTGACATGACCGATACTGAGCAAGCTGCCATCAAAAAGCTGATCGACTTCCCATCAGAACCGAAGATAATCAATATAAGCAGCGTGTGATACGAGGGAAACCGTACCATTGCACCCACGAAAACAATCAACCTCAGACCCTCCCAGGCACTCTGAAGGAGAGCCTGCAACCACTGGCAGAACACTGACAACGAGGCACCACCAGGCCTCCCCTTGAAGGGTCTGGGGCATTGCCCGTCCTGAAGAACACCATAGAAACACATCATCTCATCCCTGTTGACGGTCAAGGGCATAACCGATATAGAAGACAACCATCAATCGGTGCTAGAACCATCGCGCGCTTCGCGCGTGCTCATGCTCTACATATCTTGGAGTCGAACGCTTGCCGACGAAGAGGCCCCAGCGGTCTCCAAGAGGGCCCCCAAAAAAAACACAAGTTGTCCCCAAGAGCGCACGAAGGGCGGCCCAAGAGGCATTCAAGAGGCGATTTTTCGGAGCTCCTGCATGTGGACTTCCGAACGGAGAGGAGCGACTTCTGCTCCCTGGGGCTCCCTCAGGATCGCCCGGGGTGCTTCGGGGCGTCCGGGAAGCAAGCTCTAGGCTCTAGGGGGCGTTTCGGAGCTTCATGGGGGCGTCTTGGGGGCCTCTTCGGCGCTTCTTGGGCGCCTCTTGGGTGCTTCTCAAGGCCTCCTGGGGACCTCCAGGGACGGAGACTTCCGTTCCAATACCCCCTCTGGCCCCCTTCTTGGAACTGTCCTGGGGGCTTCTTGGGCCGTCTTGGGGTCCCTTCAAGCCGTGTTGGGGCGCTCCTGGCGTGTTTTGGATCTGTCTTGTGAGCCTCTTTGGCTGCCTTGGTGCGATATTCGGAGCCGTCGTGGAGCAACGTCAAGCCGAAAAGGCGGGAACCCCAAAAAACTAATAAAAACCAATCGGCCAATTAATAAAATTGGTGTCTTTATGCCCTCTTGGGGCCCTACTGGGGAGCGTCTTGAAGCCTCCATGGGCATCTTGAAGCTTTTTGGGCCGTCTCGGGGCTACCTTGGGCGTCTTAGAGCGGACTCTTGGCGTCTCGGGTCCCTCCTTGAGCGTCTTCGGATTCTTATGGCGCTTTGTTGTCACGTTTTGCGAGCCTCTTGCGCCGTCTTGGGAACCCTTTGGGCCGTCTGGGAGCGCTCCTGGGCTATCTTGGAGCCCTCTTGGGAGCCTCTTGGGCAGTTT